CGAATCCCACCGTGGCCGAGCATATTTTTCAAGCTCGCCCGGTGTGGATATACACTCAGAGTAACATCACAAATATCATATTCACCTAAGTACACAACACCAACACAGAAAAAAAAATGATATTACTAGAATACATTGATATCGAAGGGACTAGATTCTGTTCTGAAATATCACTTACTCGAACCGACCTGACCGCTTAGCTCAGTTGGCAGAGCATTGGGCTGGTATTCCAAAGGTCGTAGGTTCGAATCCCACCGTGGCCAGGCATATTTTTCAAGTCTGCCCGCAGGGCCGCCGAGAGGTTGGCGGGGGCCCGGGGCAAATTTTTTTTTAGGGGCTCCTATCTAAAAATTCCCCCCCCCCGTCGCCAAAAAATTTTCGGTCAGTGTACCATTTTAGGGGTCAAAAATTTTTCCGGAGTACAAAATTTTTCCGGACGAGGACGTTGCAATTGCTTTCGAGGGACTTTATCTCATTTTTTTAGGCCAAAATTCGGTACTTAGCCCAAGAAAACAGATCTCTTGTCCTTTGCGCGGAAATATTTAACACACAAAAAAGGCTGGGGCCCAACAAAAATTTTTCAGGGGCCCCCAGCAACTCGGGGCCGGGGGCAATTTGCCCCCCTGCCCCCCCCCCTCTCTGCGGCCCTGTCTGCCCGGTGTGGATATACACTCAGAGTAACATCACACAAGCATCTTATTCACCTGAGTACATTACACCAACACAGCAAATTTCATGATTATTAGATTATACTGATATCGAAGGAACTAGACTCAGTTCCGAAATATCGCATACTCGAACCGTCCTGACCGCGTAGCTCAGTTGGCAGAGCATTGGGCTGGTATTCCGAAGGTCGTAGGTTCGAATCCCACCGTGGCCAGGCATATTTTTCAAGTCTGCCCAGTGACCGGTGTGGATATACACTCAGAGTAACGAAGCATTGCTTTAATGGAAACACGAAGGGAGATGTGAGGGAGTTCTTGCAATTCATGTTCACTTGATGATTTTCTATATGGTGGTTCAACCAAGTTGGAGAATCTGATACAGAATATTAAAACAATTTTTACTGTGGGTTCTGAAGAAACAGTGTCTATGAAGTACCTACTAGGGATGATGATGAATCAGATTGATGAATCAGATTGATGAATCAGATTGTGATAGTGATCTTTTTCAATCAAGACTCGTACATTGACAGTATGGAAGAAGTTGAAATTCAGAACAAGACTGACAAGTCCCGGGTTTTAAATGAAGATGAACATGCATTTACAAGCCAACAAAATTTTACGAAAGGTGAAACAAAATACTGTAGATTTTCACTAAAGTATGTGGGATTAAAACAGCCATGGAAGTTGGTAGTGTATTGTAATGCATCATACGCTAATCTCAAAGATGGTTCCTCTCAAGGAGGTATGATCATATTTCTTGTGGACAGGGAAAGAAGAGCTTCACCAATCAACTTGGATATCCAAAAAGTTGAGGAGAGTTTGCAGAAGCACAATTGCAGCATAAACAATGTCACTGTTGGATGCAGTGGACACATCAGTGTGGCTATCTCATTTATTGGATGAACTGAAAGATAAGCAGTCTGTTGCAAATAACTGAGATGTACACTTAACACTGGCAATATGTCACTTACAGAAGCAGTGCATTCAACTAAAGCTACGGAAGAGAAGACATTGCGAAATTAAACGAGATAACAGTCAATTTGGTATTTGATTGATACGAAGAGTCAACTCACTGATGTTTTTACCAAACAAGGTGCATGTGAACACTCAAACATTAATCAACACACTAAAATGTGGACAAATTTAAATTTTGCATGGACATCTAAAAGTTAGGGTTGGGTGATATTTGATTTATCGCGATATTTTCAACCGCGATTATCGTATCGAAGGTAGAAACTTGAGCGACGAAATATCAAAATTATCGTCATGCTCAGTGACTACAAGCTAGTAGTATATACTACATGGCTTCGCACGTAGTATATAGCTTTTATAAAAATAGGCACGCTAGGCGTGCATGTATCTGCGCAAAATGTTGACTGTATCCAGCCACCGTGCAGCTGTTATGCAGTCGCCATGTTCCCTAGCCAGTGCGCTAATGAGAGGCGTTCCCCCCTCCCCCCTTTGAACGCCTGACATTTTTTTTTCTGGAGGAAGACTCTCCTCACTGCACTGGCTAGGGACATGGCGGCAGTTGCGACAACATCAAAGGTTCGGACAAGGAATCGCATTTTGATTTGTATATGTACTCTGTGGCATCATGTTCGATTCCTCTGCCTGTCTCTCCTCCCTACACTTTTTAAAAAATTAGTTTGTAAGACAGAGCTCATAAAAAAGGATAAATTGAACAAAAATAATGAATTTGAACTCATGAATGACGTACCCCCAGCTAAATCTTGAAAAGAAGTAGGCCTATCCCTCCTAAAAGCATGCTACGAGCTGTAGTAGTTAAAACAGTTAATAATTGCAGAGTATATTATTAATCATATACGCAATGACTATAAGTTATGGGTAAATTTCATCAGTGGTAAATTTACAACTGACAATCCATACAATTTCCATTAGTTGCAATAATTATGTCTGACAAATGTGATGGACTATTGCTGTTTTGGCAAATATAATAAGGGATAACAATTTATAAATTATCTAGGATATGAACTTTTATAATTAAATTATTTATTTTGTGCATGTGAATGTGTTTATGCGAAAGCAGGCCTTCCATTGCGGATTTCGAACTAGCGTTTCAGCGCTTTAATTTCCGGTAATTGTTTTTCCGTTGAAACATTTTACTAAGGGCTAAGGTCAATGACTCAATGTCAATGTTACTAAGTCTAGCTAGTGGTCTTTGCCCGTTGTTTACTTGTTTTCTTGTCCGTTGTTTATCATTTGTAAATGTAACTGTTATATTCGTGTTTATCTCGTCATTGGCAACATTTTGATATATAATTTATGAAGCTTTGTGAATCATTTCATGTTTTTATTGATATTTTGGAAATTGTAGCGTATTAAAGGCCTCAAAATTATTTACTGCCTGGCCAGCTGGCCTTTTATACGCTACAATTTCAAAAATATCAATAAAAACATGAAATGATCCACAAAGCTTTGTAAATTATATATCAAAATTTTGCCAATGACGAGATAAACACGAATATAACAGTTACATTTACAAATGATAAACAACGGACAAGAAAACAACGGGCAATGACCACTAGACTTCACTTAGTTACACATGTCTATGACGCTACGGCTATTAGCAATCCGACAAAAATTTACTACGTTTCTCTACAGTTTCCACTCTGGCTGCAAATCACTACGCTACGGTATTAAAATTGCCGTAGCGTCATAGTGTAAACGCGACCTTGGCTTAGTATCAGTTTTCACATGCGAAATTTATCTTTGTATTTGCACGTTTTACTTTGCAACATGACAGTATTTCTTCGGCTACAACGAATATAATCTTTGTGGCCGATTACCACAATGTTTTAAATGTTTCTGATACTAGTGTATTAAAAGTCGTTGTGCGATTCTGTGAAGATGTCGAGTGATGTTTATAGGCTATAGCAGAGTAGTTAAATTAAAAACCTTTGTTTAATGCAGACATTAGCATCAATGATAAGACTTGGCATCACCAAAGTCTAAATGTTTTGCTATAATTTTTTATATTTGCCATGTCCATGATACTGTGGATTTCGATCTAGCGTTTCAGCCGTTTTAATTTACGTATATTCACTCCATCAAAGGCGGCCATTTTGAATTTATTGAATATGATCAATATATCCATCCAGTTACATTTTTTTACGGTTTTGCAAAATATAGAGATCAAAATGACACACGTGATGCTGATCGCTGTCGCTGATTCGCTCCGGGCTAACACACGGTCTGCACGATGGCAATGTATCTGCGCTAGCGCTAGCGCAGATACAAAAATCCTAAAAAATTCCTTCAATTTCTAGAAAATATAGTTTTTAAAAGAATTAAAACTATTTCCTGAATTAAATACGAATTTAATACGGCCTTTCGGCCTTGGTAAGTTAGTAAGCCGCTGAACAATGAAATTGCAGGCTTTGCTTGTATGACGCGCGAAAGCGGACAGAATTACTTTTCCAAAATATACCTGTATATAACGTCAATATCAAATATAAAACAACAATGCAAATATAGTAGGAATTGCCGTATATATATGTGTGCTAATTCTTTAATATAAAACATGTTCTTAAATATTTGTGGTGTTACTCTGAGTGTATATCCACACTGGGCGAGCTTGAAAATTATGCCCGGCCACGGTGGGATTCGAACCTACGACCTTTGGAATACTAGCCCAATGCTCTTCCAACTGAGCTACGCGGTCAGGACGGTTCGAGTAAGTGATATTTCGGAA